TACCAATCAAACACACTTGAAATTATTTTCCCTGCAAAACATTTTTTAGGCAAATTTTTTCCCTGTAAAATATTTTCTTTCCACCCTTACAATCAAACGTACCCTTCGTGTCAAATCAAAGTACTGCTATGAATGTGTATTCCTTGTCTTGAATTTAACAAAGGATTTGATCTTATATTAAACTAGATTTAACACCAAGATTCGAGAGGGATAGCCTCAAATTCGATATTACATTACATCTAGTTGTGGTATATATTGTTTCGAATCAGTAATCAAAATAGAAGTATTCTTATTACTGATTGGATGACATCAAACGAACTTTGCTCTTATTTTGTATTTCCAAAAGCTCAAATGAACTAGACTATCATAATTACTTGAAGTGTGTAATCATTTTTTTTTTTTTTTTGGAAGAAGATATTAAGTTCAATGAAAGTTTTTGGCTTTTCTGATAATTTGTGGAGTGTGATCACATTTGTTTGGTTCGCTATACTATATTTTAATTGTATTGAAAGTTCTCAATCTTTATTCATTATCAAACTTAGGTCCTTAACTTCTGTTGTATTCTTATCATCAATTAATGATCCTTATTGTGGTTTTACGTTCAAAAAAATTCATTAGGGGAGCATAAAAAAACTTAATTTTTTTTCATATTTTTAAATAAGTTAATAGACACAATTGAAAATATATTTATCCCTCAATTTAAAATAAGGTAATAAAGTATTTGGACCGAATTGTTATCAGGGACAAGATGTATTATTTAATTGAAGGCTAAGGATATAAATGCGAGGAGAAAAAAATTGAGACGCAATTTTAACAGTAAGCAAAAATTGAGGACTTCCAATGCAATTAAATTGTAAAATTGTAAGGTGAATAATAATTATCCTAACATTAATTGATTTATCGACCACATGTTTAGATTCGGCCTTAATGAGGTGAGGAAAAAAATGGAGCACCCAATCCTACTCACTATGGGATTATTTACCCAATTGACACATCTAAAGTAATCACTGTTGGACTTTAAGTTTTTAGAAGACATTGACATTAGGAGCCTGTTCGGTACAGCTTAAAATTCAATTAAAATTGAAAATATGGTCGTTATTGTGTTCCACTCGTCTAATAAAAGTCCACAATAACGACTAATTTTTCAATTTTAATCCAATTTTAATCTCTACCGAACACGCCCTAGATAACTTACTTAGGAATCTCTTCTATGAAAAATAGAAACCCTTCTAAATGAGTACTTAGTATTTTCACTTCTTCAAAAGGTGTAGTCAATATCAATAAACTTGCGAAGGGTACGAAAATTC